GATGTAAGTAACTATTTTACATCTTGGTCAGATGGGACTTACTTTAGCAAGGTTTCAGTTTTAGTGCTTTAATTCTTAAGAATACTGTGAAACATGTAAGCCCTGCAGAAATTTGCGAAGGGAAGAGAAGATGAGGGCGGAAAAAGACAATGCTCCAGTGAAGGGATGAGGAGCAACTGAGAAGTCTTTGCTTTGAATTAACATACCAAGTACTGTCATCATCTCCAAGAGCTCACTCCTGCCAATCTGGAGGTCTCAGGGGGAATGAATAAAAAAAACCCAACACAGCACTTTCCCCATTTTTGGACACCTGTGTATCTGCAACAGGATCAAGTAGTTCTTTTATCTCTCCTTGTGGTCTTCTGACCAAGCCACGAAGGACTGCGGAATACAACATCACCTTCCTACAGAAGTAGGAGTCAGTAATGAAGTACAGGGCTGCAGTAACTGCAAGCTCTTATTTTCACCTATATTGCCTTCACTACATCAGGATAATCCACTCTGGGGACTACTGTAGACTAAACAGACCCTCAAATGAAAAGCCTGGTGATTTTCTCTTTCCTCCTAATTTCCACATGACCAATACATTTGAAAAAAACCCAAAACAACCCAAACCCTAGGAAAAGACTGCAGAGGACATGTAGTACCCCAATCAGTTTTCAAAAAGTATTAATTTATGCCCCTTTCAGAGAAATCAACAGTTACCAGGAATAGCAAAAATACAGCAGGAGGACTCGAGCTCTCCCTGACCCATAAGAACAAGAAAAATAAAAAGGGGGGGAGGGGGGGGTGGGAAGAAAAATCACGTTCCTATAGACATCAGACTCATTTTATCTTTTTGACAGTGTTTTATGAGATTACAGTGCACAGTTTATAATGTTTTCAAATAACTTTCTCTAAATCAGAATTTCTAATAGAGTGCTTTTAATAAAAAGCATGAGCATGAAGGAGTACAAGCTTCTCTTGAGTACTAAGGTGAGATACGGAAAATATGAATTAAGTTAAATTTAATTAATTTGTCCAAGAGAACATCATAGGAGAATTTCTGCACTGGTAATTAAGGTTCTAAATGCTTTCCTTCCATTTTATCTTCTAGAAAGTACCTCCTATGACATCTGAACTCACCAGGACCATAATTAAAAATAATTAGAGATTTGGCAGTTGTAAATTAGGCAATATTACTTAATAGGAAAGATACTAAAAATAGGCTTGAGAGGCACATACTAAATTTCAAGATCTCCGTCTCGCTTGCTTGGGAAAGTCACTCCCCTTTTCTACTTGTTAGTTTCCCATTTGTTAAAGCACACTTATTGTTGCTGAAAACACACCTATATGACAACTTCATTAATTATTCTTGTTACTCATTTAATTTAAATCAAGAATTTAGAAATTTCATAGCTATTATCTACTTCTTAAAAAAGCCTAAATTTCTTTAGCAGCTAAAAAACATAATTAACTTCTGAGAACTACAGATTAAAATAGACAAAGTATCAGAAATAATTCAAGTATTTTCCAATTCTAATTAGAACAGTTACAGTTTCTTGTGAATTAAATAAAGAAAATATTTCTCTTAATATTCTTGATCAGCTGATTCATTTAAATAACTAGATGCTCAAATCACTGGTTCAGTGTGTGAGCTTTACTTTGCTTATTTCTTATCTACAGTATGACTTCAGTTTTAAAGCTCAAACTCTTCTGCCAAGGACCACTGAAAAAACCAGTGCAACATAATGTATAAAATGCTCCATCTTGCCACTGCCATACTACTGCTTCTGCACACTGTTCTGTCAAATTAACACCACTAACAAGCTCAAGCACCACAATCCAGAAACTTCTGTTGTGGAACAGGTAAAATTGAGGCACAGGGAAGAGCTGTTATTCTCTCATGTTACTCAACAGGTGTAAGGTACCAAGAAAAAAGTATTTCTAAATTTGTTACCCCACTTTCTGCAGTAAAACCAGAGTGGAAATGCAAATTTACCCTACATAGCAGCATTAAATATGAAACAGGAATTCCAGAAACTTTCAACGGGGAACTTACTGCTATGTACAATAAGGCAGGCATATTACCCTTTTAGGGTTCAAATGATTGAGAAATATACACCTATGGTTTGGGGATTTTATATATAT